CATGTATCAAGTGAAGTTTATGCTTAAGGCAAGGTTGAAATAATAAATTTGTGATAGAAACCAAGTTTAGCTGTTCAAATAACATTCAGTAAATAACAGTAGAATTTTAAAAGAAAGTTATTACTGTTTATGATTTCCTATGATCTTCTATCTTTACACGTAAAGTGCACAATTTGAACTGCCTGACTTCTTCTTTTTGCTAACTAAATTGTACACTAAAATGCTTGGAATCATGGGAGATTTTGAATTTTTCATATACCAAAAAAGTAATTGTCTTAGTACAGTTTAACTCCTACTGATGTATCGTAAATAAAGTAATTGTCTTAGTACAATTTAACGCCTACTTATTTATCGTAAATAAAGTAATTGTCTTAGTACAGTTTAACTCCTACTGATGTATTGCAAATATAACATAACACTGATTTATGCGTAATCCTTTGTGAAATCCATAAGTTACATGGAACACTTGCAAAGATAAGATATAACTAGCAAGTTCATGTTTCTTAATATTTTAGTCTGAAACCTCATCTCTTAAACACTACCCTTAAACCGTATTTGTAAGTGTTTGGCAAATATTTTGATAATTTTTCATTTGTGACTAACTGTATTAGGGAAAGGTTCCTTATACTTCAGAGAGCCAAGGTTGAAGTGGTACTAGATGATGTTTATAAAACATTTTATGATTAATCAAAACATTAATTAAAACAAAAAGAGATGAAGTAGCACTTCCATTAAGCTGTTTTAATTAATGTTTGTTTCATCTAGACTCATCCATCATGATTTGTAGGTTTCTGATACAGTAACGTAGCCAACTAATTCATCAGGAAATTACTGTTTGTTATGACTTATCCATCATGATTTGTAGGTTTCTGATACAGTAACGTAGACAACTAATTGATCAGGAAATTAATGTTTGTTTCATCTAGACTTATCCATCATGATTTGTAGGTTTCTGATACAGTAACGTAGCCAACTAATTCATCAGGAAATTAATGTTTCTTTCATCTAGACTTATCCATCATGGTTTATAGGTTTCTGATACAGTAACGTAACCAACTAATTCATCAGGAAATTAATGTTTCTTTCATCTAGACTTATCCATCATGATTTGTAGGTTTCTGATACAGTAATGTAGCCAACTAATTCATCAGGAAATTAATGTTTGTTATGACTTATCCATCATGATTTGTAGGTTTCTGATACAGTAACGTAGACAACTAATTCATCAGGAAATTACTGTTTCTTTCATCTAGACTTATCCATCATGGTTTATAGGTTTCTGATACAGTAACGTAGACAACTAATTGATCAGGAAATAAAGTAATTGTCTTAGTACAATTTAACGCCTACTTATTTATCGTAAATAAAGTAATTGTCTTAGTACAGTTTAACGCCTACT